GGGGGGGTTGGGGTAATTTTTTTGGTGAGGTTTTGTTGTTTGGGGTTTTTTTAAAGCAGTCAGTTCAGTATTTGTCTGGACAATCCCTGCTCAGCCAAGGGCAGAACCAGCAACACCAGCCGGGGATGCTGCTGGAATCCTGCACCCGAGAAGGAAATGCAGCCTGAGCGTCTGCGGAACGAATGAGAAATGCACTTCTTACCAAATTATCTACAGAGATAATTTAATTATCCATAGACATAATAAACTCTACAAGTCCCCTCAACAAAACAGTCTGATTTGAGACTACCAGGCAGCTCTCACCGCGTCAGCTCTGGGCCTTCTACGAGGAGATGCCCACGAACGGAAACTTCACCCGCTCAGCCGGGCCGCGGGGTAACGGGAGGACACTGAACACACTCTAAAATTACCAGTAATTTCGGGTGATACAAACACACCAACGTGCAGTTTCAGCTTAAGATTGAAGTTTTTTGCTAAACTTTAATTAAGATGAGAACACGGACCAAGAGGACTATTTTCCATCCCTGGCAGGGAACACGCTCGTTTTATGAAGGCAGCTGTCTGCTGGTGTAATCTCACCTGTTCCAGGCCACCCGTGCCTCACCTGAAAGCACACGGTCACTCTCCCCATTTCCTTTACTCTTTCCATCGAATCTCTGAAGCGATACAAACCCTCTGTGAATTTCCTTCAGCAAGGTTCCATCTCAGCTGCAGAAGCTGCTGCTCCCAGACCCTTGGTGTTCCACAAAGTTCCTTTGCATCTGCACTTGCCTTTAGCTACAGAATCGCCCCCGGCACCCTCAGAACAGCCCTGGATTTGTATCAGCTGTGAAGAGGTGACATTCCCCAGCAGCAGTGACCCTCTGGGTGATTTCCAGTGTTCGCAGCCCAGCTGCATCCCACTGTCAGGGTATCTCAGGAGCTGACAAGCCACAGAGTCACTAAGGCAGCCAGGATTCAGTGGTATCCTTAGGGGATTGTGGAACACAGAATATTCAATAAGTGTTCACTCATTCAAAAATGTCAGCCTCTCTGAATTCACCTGCAACCTCCTGAAAGCACTCGGGATCCAACCGGAGGATTTTCTGAAGAGCTGGATAAAGCAGCTGTTTAGCTGCACATAACAGAACTTTATTACTTCTGGAGTTCTCCTGAACTCTGCAGAACAGAACCAGCTGGTGGGCAGCTCTGAGCATTAACAACTGAAACAGGTACCCAGATCTTGGCATCCCAGGAGGGGATGTGGAATAAAAGGAGGGATCTGACTTCTGGGACAGTTCACAGCTGGCTGTGTCCTATTTTTAGCAGAATATTGTCACAGCGCACGCTTCCAAGCCTGCAAAAGGCACCAGAGGAACCACCTCCTCTCACCCACGACACAGGTACCGACAACTGTACGGCGGGGCAGGCGAGGCAGCTGCAAAGAACAACTCTAAGGAAAGAATCACAGCGCCCGTCACTCCTCACGCCAGGACACGCCTGCACGAGCTGCTGGTTTGCTGGTCCCTGTAGTGGACGTCACGGCCAGAATGGTGGCAACTCACCGTCCAGCAAGGAGGTGAATAAAAAAAGAAGCCAGGAAAGGAGCAAAAAGAGGATGGGGTCAGAGAACAAAACAAAGGGTAAAACTGCCACGAAGCTGAACAAACAGCACACGAAGTATTTAGGTACCAGCCCACACGTCGATCTTTGCCGAGTGTTCACAATGTTCAGCTTTGCACATTTCTAAGCTACTTCCCAGAGGTACCGGAACAGTCAGACCCGCTCTGCAAAGGGACCTGCCTCCTCCACTGACCACACAGGTAACCTGGGAAGAGGTAACCCCGGGGAGAGGTAACCCGCGGCAGCCAAGGTGAGCGGCCCAGACATCGCCCAGCTCTTCCCTTCGTGCCAGAACCCAACCAAAATCCGTGTTCATATGAACAAGAAGTAACCGATACCTCCCTGTGCAACAACTAGATTTCAAAGTGGGCCTTTCCAGCTGGAGATTAACTTCTGGGAAAAGACTGCACAGCATGATTAGAGCACTAAGTAATTAGTATTTTTAGTACAGTAGTGAGGAGTGATTTTTTTTTTGAGCAATGTTAAGAATCTTCTGAAAGGCAACTGCTCAAGTAAAAATAAAAACATTTAAACTCAACTAGCAACGAGTGTTTCTGTCCAGTGCGGTGGTGTCCATGGTAATGCTGTGGGTGGGAGAATAACAAGTATTCAAAAGCTCAGATATTATTAACAAGCTTATTCATGTCTGCAAAGTACATGTTTCATGCTCAGGGAAATCGGTCCTTTTCTGTCCCACCCATTTGCTCAGGGGGTCTTGGGAGAGCGACTGTGTGAATCCGATTGTTACCATCAAGTGTTCTTTAATTTTGGCTTCTGGGCCCATGTAGGACATTTCCATTCCAGCAGCTGGAAGCTGTTATAAATCAAAAGCCCCAAAGTTTGGATAAGATACGTTGTTATAAAAATCTGTTTTAGAATCTGGAATAAACCATCACGTAGGAAACCAATAAACAACGTAACCACACAGATAACAGATTTTTCACTGTTTTCCCAGCCCCAACATTTACTTGGCTACCGACACAATAACACGTCAGTGATCCCGTGAGAACAGACAGGCGCGGGTTGAAGAGCGCCATACAACTCTGCTGTGCTGCCAGTGGTTCATCTACCAAGTCCCATCTCATCACAACAGCAGAGGATGTGAATTCCATTCCATTATTCTAAACCTCCCCTTAAATCTAGTGATAAAAATGTAAATGGGGGCTGCTGGAAGGGGTCTCCCAGACATCGTTCTCAAAACCAGCCCAAGTGTGGAAAGCACGGAAGGGAATGAAAACCAACATCTCTTCATCCTTCCCCGACACTCAGGGATCAAGGATGGACTTCTTCATTTGTTTGCTGATTCAGAATTTCAATTGCATTTGCCAAAAATACCTCCTGTTTAACAAGTGGTTACCTGTCATTTCAAAACACGGTCTGGTCAGGTGATTATTAGAAACTCAAATACCTATGTAATTAACTGGCTCTCAGACACGACACATTGAAACATAAATGGCTTCACAAACGTTTACAGCACTAAAACATGTTAAAATAAGTCCTTATTTGCTCTTGTTTTATGCTGCAGTTGTACCTGGGCCACTGATTTCTCTTTGAATCTCCTTCATTCTTTCCAACAAGCAAGTGGCCAGAAATAGGTACAGATGCTGTGGCTGCAACCCAGGCTGTTCCAAAGCTTCCGAGGTCATTTCCCTGAGGGTGGCACACGGACAGCAGCCACGGTAATTTTAAAAGACAAGGGTAACTCGGCTGTTCTCCCTGGGACTCAAGGAGCTGGACACAAAGGCAATTTTATTTTGGTCAAGCTCTTACCTCTTCTTCTTGGTGATAATGAGGACGTCATTGAAGAGGAAGAAGTACACCTGCTGTTTAGAAGTTCTTTTAGAAAAAAGTCCTGTGTCTTCTACATAAGCTGTTAACTCGCCCCTTTTCACCAACCATCGTGAGGAGGAAACCAATGGAAATGGCTGCAAAGCAAGAAAATAACATTTCAACCCTTCAGAAACAGAGATTTTTAAAAACCAGATAACATTACATCTTTGGGGAAAAAATGCCTGAATAAACTCAAAGCTCAGAGACTGTGAGTACAAGCACAAAATGGAGGTTATCGAGGTTTAAGGCATGTTCATCATTCATCCAGCACACAAGTAACAGCCTGAAAATACCCAAAAGTCACTCATGCACATGACCTACTTGCTCATCCAAGATAAAATGAGCAGACTTGACTGGGCGTACTTGGGATGGGACTGACTGAGTATCCTCAGGAGATTAAAAATAAAAAGACTCTTCCAGGAATCCGTGAGGTTTTGTAGAGCGAGCAATCACTCCAGGCTCGTATGAACACTGGATTTCCCTCTGGGTACCTCACAGCTTTTCTGCCTGAGTGGTCACAGAGAAGATCTTCAGCTCCTCACCTCAAGCACGAGGGCTGCTGCTCACCCCATACCCGTACCGAGCCCTGCCGCAGTAAATGGGTGCTCACTGATACATTTGATGGAGCACGTGTATTTTTCTTCATCCCAAGCAAATGTTCATTTCTCCTCGCCCCGCACCTGCCTTCCTGCTCACCAAACTTCCCTGCTCGCTTTGCTGCTGTTCAAATTCATTAGCGGTCTTGCGCAATTAGACTAATGAAGACAACAGCTTTCTTCCCCTCATTTAAAGCACCTTTCACATGCTTGTAAAAACACATTTCTTCATTCAGCTTGTCAGCTCTCTTCCTCATTCTGCATGAGTTGTCTTTTCCTATCTTCTCATCACTTTAGCTGCTCTCTACTGAACTGATTTCAACTCGTCAATACTTGCCCCACAGAACTGAGCCAAAACCAAAACACCGTGCTCGGACTGGGATCTTCCTGTTGGAAGAACAAATATCACTGACTCCCTAATTTTACACGCAGCCACCGACTTGTTGAATGCTGAGGTCGGATTTTGCAGTGGCCCTGAAGTGGCACATGACAAAACAACTATTCCAAAGATGCTTTTTCTGCCCCCAGGCAGCACCACAGAACTCTCCCCGTGCTCTCCCTTAGGAGGAGTTGAAGGTTGTTCAGAAGGCAGCAGCCCTCTGGAACTACTGCAAATTGTTACAAATGAAAGAAACATTAAACTTTTTACCTTGCCCCGGGCTGATTTACACCCCACCATTCCCAGAAAAGGCAGCAATGAACGCCCACCCTCACCTGGGTGACATCCACTGAACAAAACCTTTGCTCTAGGGTAGCCCTGCGTGAGGGACCTTTCACAACACGTGCTCCTTCAAACACCAACGACTCATCTCTCTGCAGAGACCCTCATGTTCTTCCATTCATGCAACCAAGATAATATAGTGTATTGAATCCTGACAAAATTCTTCCCAATTAATCCAAGCTCCCATATTCTGTTTTGATTCATACAGCTTTTTTGCAGGTTCCCAGTTTTGTATTAGCCATTAGTTTACTAAATTCTCTATTTCACAAACAGATTTTTATCCAGGTCTGTTGGTGAATCAGAGTAAACCACTCTGGGTATAAATCACTGTCACTTCAGGTTCATTAACTGATACTGTCACTCATCTCAGGGGGCAGCTCAGGCATCTATCAATCCAGCTCCGTGACTTTCTCCCAGGTCTGTATCACACCATTCTTCTCCTGGATGGTCACTTTACTCAGGACACATCAATGAACCTCCCAGGTTCTGACAGGCCAGTTTAGCTCGGGGCTCAGATACGACACTCCCAGAGGAACTCCCAAGCTCCAGCACTGAAATCAAAGATTTCTATCAACATTTGGCTTTAAAAAAAATTGGTGTACTTTCCATCAAAACTCTGCAGGTTCAGTACCCTCAAGTGACATGAAAATCAATGTTTTAAACAAATGGCTTTTAGGTTTCCTGAAATGCAGTAACGGCTCCAGGAGACAACACAGGAACGAGAAACATCAGCCTGTACCCGACAGTGACACCATCACACTTGTGACTTTACAACATGGAAAGACTTTGGGTTAGAACAGAGAAGTCACGGACAAGTTTCATGAACACAAAAGCATGTTTGCACAAAAAAACCTTTTCTGGTGATAAAGATAAAAAAATTAAGAATAAAAACATCTGAATCTTAATTAAAAAATAAACTCTGCAGATGAGCCACGTATAAGCAACACAATTTTTGAGCAGCTTCTCTTGCACTCCCATGAAATGCTCCACAGTTACATCTCACAAAATAATAAACAAAGATCCCAAAGCACAAGATGAGGTTCAGGAAGAACAGAAATAGCTTACCTGATTTATAACAGTTATAAAACAGAATTACAGCACCCTGGTGACTGTGTTACAGGCAAGAAGTACTTAAAAAATTTCTATTGGAGCACCAGCTAAAAATTCCTCTAATCTGTACTCCAAGTGAGTTAATCACATTTTCCTCACTGACTATTCCAGAGGCAGCTTGCTTTTACTTCATATTAATTTTTCCTGAATTGACAAAAGAGCACATCACATATACCATCTCCTTTCTACACAAAACAAGCTGTCAGAACTTAAAATGTATTGACTTGTGGCCAAAGCAGTCCTCTATACGCCAGCTGGCGAGCTCTCAAAGCACAGATAAGGTCTAAACCACTAAGTGGTTTTATTTAAGATGCACAAAGGGAAAAAAACTCACATAAAATACAGAGAAAGCAAATGAAGCTGCTGCTCTCCCATGGAAGCAGCGAGAGCTGCTAGTTACAGCACGCACAGGGAGAATGACACGGGGCTCTCGCATCGGCGAACGGGGACGATGGTGTGTGTGCTCCTGCACGGGGAAAGTGAGAGACTGAAAACCAGCTCAGCACTTCAGCTCCTCTGGGTGCTGCTGCGGAAGTGAAACGCTGAATGAAACCAGGAAGGAGATGGCCCCAGGACTGCAGACTGCCCAGCACTACCTGAGACTATCCACAGACTTGAGACCATTATCTCCATTGTTAGCAAGTGATGGGACTTGTTAGGAGATGGTTTATTCGATGTTGTTATAAGCAAGTATTATTATTGCTTTCAGGTTTTAGTCAAAGTATGAAAATAAAAATACTTCAAACAAGCTGCAAAACACCTTTTTAGAGCATAAAACCAGCATAAAGCTGTACTGTGACCAACACTGCATAGGTACTGTCACTCCAACAGGGACAGGGTTTCATCCACAAAGCCAAACCCAGCCTGGACATGGCTCATTCTTCTGTAATTAATGCTAATTTATTCTTTTAAAAAATATATATATCCCGATATTCTGTTTCCCTGAAAAGCCTCAACCTGAAGCTCACTCGGCTTGGTCAGACACGACAGTCTCAGTTACTCTGAGTTTCCAGGGCTTCAGCTACCCCAGGATATGAACTTGTCACCTCTCACTGACAACTCAAGCCAGTGTTACAGCCAACACCAGTTTACTCTGGTTACACTGGCAGTGAACCTACCAAAACTCCACGTGTAACCAAACATGACGTGGTCAGAATATGCCCAACATACCTTGATTTTAAATTCCAGTTGGGAGTTAATAGTGTACATCATTTCTGTCCTTTCCATCTTCCGAGCACCTTCGTTGCACAAGCGCACCAGCTAGAAACGAGACATTGATTAACAGGATTAACGTCCTCCAGACCCGTAACACAAACCCTTGTTCCATTATAAAAATGCATTTCTGGGGAGCGTCAGATTCACAAAGGAACTGACATTTTCCTGCTGGGTCAAGACCAGGCTGAACGTGGCCCTGAGTGACCTGGTCTGAGCTGACAGCTGATTCTGCCTCGAGCTTGGGCTGGGTCACCCCCCCGGGATCCCCCTCGACCTGAATTATCCTACGACTCTATGGTAATTAGTTATTCTTCGGGGAGTCCAGCTGGTACCAAGGTTCAGCCCAAAGTCCTGACTGAGAAGGGTTCTAACATCACACATGGATTTCCCAAGCACCAACAGGTCTCTTCTCCTTCTGTAATCGATCACTTCACACACCACACGCTGTCCCTACAGAAAAACCCAACCGTGCTGGCAGCAGAGCAGTGTTACGAGTTCAGGGTATCTTCATAAGTGATAAACAACCAGTCATTTACATATCAAAATGATCCCTAGTGGCCTTTCCTAACTAGAAGTATTTAGAGGTTGCATGCTTCAGTGCTCTTCCTGTCTGCGTTATTTCTGCGTGGAAAACAGACATTTTCCCTTAAGTTAAACAACACTGCTCAATGCCCAAGGTGATGTGCAGCCCAACATGCAGGGTAGGATTTTCTGCTTTAATAAAGAATGCCCAGTGTGTCCCATTTCACAGCAGTCTATGATGAACTATAGCTTCTGAAATCTTGAAGGTAAAAAATACCCAGTCCTTAGATCCCTGGGTTCTCTTTTCATACTACACTGTTCTGGTTTAGAGTTGTCTGTCTCCAGAATATAAATATATCAAACAGATGAACTGGAATTCCCCATCAGTATAAAAAAATGGGTAATCTGATTATTGCTCAGGTCCAAATGGAAGGGTCCAGAATTTATTATACAACTAAGTGCTGTTGAAATTTATAGTCCCATGGAAATGGACTTGTGCTCTTCTTCCACCATCGATTCTTGGCCAAAAAACCCCCATGACTACAGGAGAAGAGAACAACTCTGAAAGCTGACAGAAGTGCCCAGGTTAACTTACAACAAAAGCAGAAAGAACAATTAAGTTTGCTTAGAAGATTCAGACTTTCTTTTCTCTACTGCCAAGGACCATGCTTTGCCTTTCTTTGTACATATGGTTCACCATATGGCTTTCTGCTGGAACGACTGGCAGCAAACTGAACACATTTGTCCAACTACACAATGGAACAGGTGAACAAAATGATTCATAAACATGAATATTAATTCTCAAGTGACTAACAAACAAAAGCAGCCACTTCTTACAATGGGATTTTTCAATTAAAAGCACACAGTGCAATTTAGGAAGGAAAACAGTCAAAGCAGAAAAAAAAATATGCATCCAGATGAAGCTCTGAAGAACATACCTTGCTCACTTCTTTCAGAGCTTGCTTGCAGTTTTCATACTTTGGTGAATCCTTAGGAGTTTTCTGACAAATAGTCTGAAATAAAATGTCAGTTACTCCAGGGGACTGAGAATCAGAGACTGTGACAACGACAGGACTGTGCATAGATACTGGCTGAAATCAGAGCGGTGAAGGCAGCTGTGGGCAGGGGTGAATGAGGGAACACTCAGTCACCCACTCAGAGTGCTCTGGCTCACTAAGCAAAGCCTCCCCTGAAAGCCTCTGGAGCACCTTTTGGCCAACCTGCACCCATGGCAGCGTGCTGGAAGAGGCAGGCCATGTCCTTCCAGGAAAGGGAAACTTTCTGTCTTGTCTCTTGCTTTTTTTGCAAACCACAGTGAAACCCCACTGCAGCCACACGTAACCAGGTTCTGCCTGTTTCAGCGTTACGCTTTTCCTGGAAGCTGAAGCACCCAGTTATGTACAACTGGACTGGCAATAAGAACACTGGGCCAGGTAACTCTGTCTGGCCTCTTTGTGGAAGGTCAGTATTTCCAAAGGATTTACAGAAAAGGCTCTTATGGCCATACTGCTACGTGCACCATGGAAAAATACACAGAACTCTATTATTTTATTAAAACAAGAAAGCACATGGAAAGGAAGACAGCTGCAGCATCCAGAGAAAGCACTGGAAATAATGAGGCCTTTTGAATTAATGACAGACCAGTTAAATCACTTTTTTGACTGAGAAACAAAAATATTGCAAGATACTAGATTAAATCAGTCTTTGGTTTAATTATGTTTCCTCCTCTCTGAATGTACTTAGAGCCATATTTCTGATACTGAAGCCTTAAAAATCAAATTCACTTTGAAGTCTCACTATAAGGTTTACATAACCACCTCCAAGAAAAACAAACAAAACTGAAAGAGTGGAAAATAGAAGCTTGGTTTGCTTCTTCAGATTCTTTTAGCTGAAGGGGGGAGAAAGAAAAAACCAAAAAACCAGAAGGGGGCTGCACACCTAGTGAGACACCAAAGTAATACTGCATTATTATTACATTTTTTACCTGGAAATGTACTGCAGAGAAGAGAGTATTCAACGTCAGCTACGTAACTATCCAGGTGTCAAATTAATCAGTGCACAACTTGCAAATATACAGGAGAACAAAACTCCAAGTCGTGTTTCCAGATCCCACCAACGCTAGAATCTGAGCCTGGATTTTAATCCACACTGTTGCTGGTGGTCCAGCTCACAAATTTAGTTCTAGCTTCTTAACTGAAATACCATGAATCTTGGTGTGAACTCTGCTTCACCTGCACTTCACCACACTTCCCAAGTCAGCCAGAGACCTGCCCAGGAAGGGAACATCTCACAGTGCAACACGCCGGGGGGAAACCGCGCGTATCAACGCCGCTGCACCCAGAACAGCTCCCAGGCCCTTGGGAATGGAGCTCCTTCTTCAGGGTTACACTGTGACCCTCTTAACAACCCTGTTCCTGAAAGTCCTGACTGCAAAAGGACCCTTACCTCATCTGCACAACAGGAAATCTTGGGTTTTAAACTGTTGGGTTTAATTTTAATCCTAACACTATGTACCATTTCTGTGCTAGGTTCCTCCTTGGTTTCAGAATCATTCTGACCCTTCTACAATTTTTCTATCAGAATGTCTAAATACTTAACTCTCACATGGAAGATCAGGAGCAGGAGGTACCAGTCATAGTAAGCAAACAAGTACTTCATAATCAACAGACCAGTATCTACAGCCCTGTACCTGGTATAAGTAAGAAGATATGAAGAGACTGGGATGAACCGGGAATTGAATATGAAAGAATTCTAATATTAAAAGAACATGCATCAAGGAAAAGTGGAAAAACAGCTGTTCTCACATCCATGAGTAAGGGAAGACGAGTAACTCTCTGCATGGGAAGAATGAGGAAAGAGATCATTGGCAAGTTCCGGCAATCTTCGTGGGACTCGATCCGTGACAGCACCTCTTTAAATGCTGGATTCGTCGCTCTGGTGGGAGAAAGGGAGAAAGAATTAACACTCACTCCTACTACAGAGGGGTGATTTTACAGTCACATTTAAAACTAGTTCTTACAGTAATTTCTGCAGCGTTCGCTGCTGATAGACTTCATTGGTGCAGTACTTCACGTATGGGTCAAACGTTGAAGAAGAATGCTTCTCAACTATATCACTAATGTCATCAATAAAGATGTTGTTCTGATGTCTTGCTTCAAGTTCTTTAAAGAACCTGTGAAAAACAAAAATAAGTTACTCGTTTTTACAAAAAATAGCAGACTTTCTCTCACCACATTTGACACTTCACCTGACACAACCCCTGACTTGTGTAACCCGATGACAACTCAAATGGTTTGTGAAAGGGTGAGGTCATCTCTCCTTTGGCAGAACAGGAGGGTAAATCTTTACACAAGTCCAAGGGTAGTGCTGTCACTTGGAGCTCAGCATAAGCAGCCCTGGCAAAGGTACTTCCCATTCTCTAGCTGCCAAACTGAAACAGCGTCGCTGATCTGGTTAGACTAGAATTTCCAGAAACAGTGTGGAGAAAGAAACAAAACAACTCCAAGCACACATTAACACATCTCCTCTTGTCGTACAGGAAGTACACCACCAGAAACGTCCAAGGAAATGAAGTTACATGTGAACTGCTAAACTAGGACCGACAAAATATCCAGCAGGCTGAGCTGCTCACGTACCGTATGCTCCAACACCGACTGGAAACACTGAAAATGGGAATAGAAACCAAAATCCTGAGCTGGCTTTTTCCCCTAAACACGCTTGTTCCAAGAACTTCCCTATTGTTCGTCCTCTGTTCTGCATCCGAGTCCCTTTGGCCTCTGAGCTTTCCACTCCCCTTTGCATTTCTGATTTTAACAGAAAACAAAAGCCTTTATTTCCACGAGGCTCATCAGAAACACCTCAGTGGGGAGCTCACTCTGCTCAGCTGCTGCAGGTCGTTACCATTACCCACACTGCCACCCTGACACCTGTGCAACCCCTAAAAACGCAGGAGCTGCTGACCAGTCCCTCATACGCTCGTCCTGCCCGCGGCCCGTACACAAGCTGAGTCACTGGAAGAATCCCCAACTCCCTCGAGTAAAGCAGCTAATAAAAAAATTCTCATATAACACAAAAAAAAATAAGGAAATACTTGGAACATTCGATCTCACATCAAGCTAAAATATTTTGAAACAAGTTTTATTTTATTTCAGCCCTTTATGACATTTTCTCATTACTAACGGTGGCTCTTCAAAATCCGTCACCTCGCAGCATTCCATTTTTTTTAAGTGTGCCACCCATGTTCTCCACAGTTTGCTCCACAAACAAACCTCAAACACTCAACAAGAGAACAGGCTGGACAGAAGCTTATCACACAAGTGTTTAACAACACGGGTCAACAGGAATCCAGACATTTTCTCAGGTGTGCTTAGAAAGCCTCCTGAATTGAGCGGTTGCCAGGTTCTCACTCAGTCCATCAGTCAGAAGAACCAAGGGGCTTTTTCAGTTTGGGATTTTTTTATTTGGTTGGTTTTGTTTTCACAGTTCTGACACACAAACAGCAGCCAGTTCAATCCACAGTGCATCAGAATTGGCATGTAATGAGAAACAGGAACCTGCCCACAAATAGAGACAGCACAGTCTGCCGCAGCGCACGCTTTCCTCCTCACTCTTCCCCTTAAGTGCTGCCGCGAAATTTTTCACTAGTTTTGCCACTTCTGGAAGGCAGAGTCCTCCAGCATCCTTCTGTCCTCCACCCATCTTATTTCAAAGCACAAGATATTTCAAGTTGTCATTGACTTGAATTATGCCACATATTTGTTTTTTCAGTATCAAGAACAGTACCAACTGGCAAAGCACACCAAGCTGCTGAGATCTCACACAGGACATGGAAAAATACTCACGAGTTGCCTGAGCTGTCACTGGGGTCCCAGAAGGGGAAAGGAAAGGAAAGAAAAAAAAAGAAAGAAAGAAAGAAAGAAAAAAAAAAGTCTCTGCAAGTTCCAAGTCCCAGAGTCTACGATTTCTCATGAACCACAACAGATTCCAGCCGCTGACCACCACGAACTGCAGACAACTGGAACTCATTTCTGCTCTGCTCAGACATGTTTATAGTTGGGAGAACTTCTCAGCGCTGCCAATTTGCTTTGCTCAGGAAATTAGGAAATGCAACATTTCTTCCTGCTGTATGTTATGGCATGGTGACAAGGTGTTCGACCATGCTGGGCTGGAACTTTCACTTTTAGAATTTATCTGGTGCTTCATCAATGACATCATCAGTCACAATCATTGTGAGGAACAGTAAAAATCTTGGACAGTAGAAGATTAAAAATAAACAGAGAGGCGCAGAGAGAAGCAGTACACCCAAGTCCCACTCCCCCAGCACGCACTGTAAGAAACACTGCTTCTGGAAATCATGCATCAAGCACGAGTCCAAGCTTGTCTTTTTTTACATCCAATCTGCTAATTACTATAATCAATCAGTGAACCAGACTCATCACAAAAACCTTTTACTTAAATTTTTAGGACAGATTCTGTCACAAAGATCATCACTGAGTGACCAAGTGATCACACTCAATTTAACCACCTATGAATTAGCTGTGCTGGGTGACTGCCTTTTTTTGCTTAATACTAGAAGGATTTATTTGAAGCATTTGTTTCTGTTAAATCCCAAACTCTTCTGGTTAAAGTCAGATCCAGTTAAGTGAAAGTCAGGCAGCACTGTAAGACAGCATTTGATTGCCCTCACCTTGCCCTCAAGTTGTTTAAAAGAAACGTCCAATTTGTAACACTCTCCAACTCCCCCTCCCCTAAGGGCCACCTGCCAGCTTTAGAAATACAGTTTAGTTCAGTTCCTGGTTGTTTCTGGTCACAGCACAAAGCTGGAAACTCCAGAGATCTCACCAGCACTGGAGTCGGCCCTATGGAGCTTCCTCCTTAAACATTTTGGTGGCTCCTGTTAAGGATCTTCCCAAGTCTTCAGGCAGATCATTAACGAGTTGTTAATCACCACCAGGAACAAAGTCCCCATCCTTGCTCGGGCAATGTTCTTCAGCTGTTTTTTCCTCCTCGTTGGCACTGCTCTCAGCAATGACAGATACCCTCAACTTTCTCAAAAACTCTGATTAATTCAGAGGTATGAACACAAGTGTGCAGCGGTACAGGCACAGCGGCACAAACTACTCCTCACAATTCACCTTCAGAAAGGCCCAAACTACATCTCACACACAGCTGCAGAACTCCCACCAACCTCAACAGAAGTTCAACTTAAACAGATGCCATGAAAAAATACACAAAATAAATGCCCTAATACCAATCACTGTGGTCGACATTTCTTCTCAACATTTACTCTCCCTTCATCCCTAGATAAAGGTATCAACTGAGCAGGACTTACATTCTTACTAATACTGTATCTTGCTATCTGGATATTCCAAAATCAGATTGTACTGGATTTAAAAAAAACCCACAAACATCAGGCAAATAAAAGAGATTTTAACTAGGCAGGCCAAGTCAGAGTTAGAAAAACAATTATCTTATGGAATCAGTTATTATCTGGGAGCAAGAAGCATGTAGAATCAAACAAGAGCACATAAAAGGAATACACAGAAAGGTCAGGTACTGCCCAAGATCTAAACACATTATTTATATCCAGGGTCACTACAGAAGAAAACTGATACTGAAGCCTTTCTGGTGAGTGAGACTGGGGAAGAGCAGACTTGGTGGAAGATCTGTCTGAACCTGAATTATCCATGGAACACCAGAAGTTACCAGAACCAAGTGATCAGCAACCAAAGAAGCTAAGAGGAAAAAAAATTCTGATAAAGTTACTATGAGATAATTTTAGCTTAAAATCTGCATTTGGGGGGGGATTTAAACTAGTAAAAATGGGAAAAATTACAGCCTTATTTCCATAGAATGCTTATGGTGAATCAGAATCAGAGCTTTTAGCAAAAGAGTGGCTCAAAAAGAGGGTGATTAAAGTGAGGGACTGCATGCACAGGTGTTTGAAATGAATCAGTTTGTTATGGGAGTTACCACAACCTGACTAATGGAAAACAACTCGTACAACATACACATTTATTTATAACACCAAACACTGCAAAGCTAACAGCCCGTAAACCCACCCTTTATGGGGCAATATCCCCTGAGCAACTACAAAGCCAAACAAGAAGGAAAAAAAAAAGAAGAGCTCCTGCCAGCCTGCTCCTTAATTTCATTCTGCAGGAACTGGCCCAGCTTTTGGCAAGCCTGCCCACCAGTAACTGGCCCAGTGGCAAGCCACTTGCCTGTGCAGCTATTTATAGTATTCTGGCAGAAACCCAGAGCAATAAAAAGGCCATGGCAACCCCGCCAATATATTCTGTTCCAGCTGATTCCTGAGACAGCGGGTAAGTGCTCACAGCATCCCACTCAATGCTATGCACCTCGGAAAAACAAATCTGGATTCAACCAGTTAATACCCCCTGAGCAGTGAACCCACAAAGAGCGCTCTGTGGCACTGGAAACGTACATCTTCTTGATAAATTACAAAGACATCACCACAAGAGTCTTCAGTGTAAAACCCTTTCCCATGCTGAACAAAGTCATGCTTTTCATAGCCCTGAGAAGAAGCAGGGTCCTTCTGCCTGGCTCTCCCCGTCTGAAAAGCTACCGACACGCTCATCTGTCACAGAGCAAAGTCACCTCTTGCACGTCAGCAACAATGAAGTCACGAGTCACTCTGTGAAGGTTTCTGGCCACGGGGATGAGGCTGTTCCCACAACAGCCAAATTAGAAACCACAGCAGCAAAGACAGCGGAGAACGGAGGGGAACGACCGGACACGTAACTTGTGCTCTGCAAACCTGGGCTGTCACCTGCAGTCCCCAGCTGCACAATAACCAAGTGTAGCACTAGAGATACTGGTGATGTTACCACACCCAAGAGAACCAACCAACCTTGATATTTGGGAAGAAATTTGTTAAGATTTTTCATAAAAATATGAACCATAGCAAAACATCAATGAAGCACTGCTTAGCCTTGAGGGGAGCGTATCAGCCAGGGAACTCTCTGCCACAGTCTAGAAATAAGAGTGATGTACAGCGTGCCCAGGAAACTCTCCAGAGCAAGTCTGGACCTTGTTGTCTCATTTCCCACCAGGCCCCCGTCCCGCTCCCTCCCCCCCCCCAGCGGGTTCCCCCGCAGCCCCAGGCCTGCCGGCAGCCAGGTGCCGCAGGGACACGGCGAACACGCCCCG